TTTCCGACACACACGCGCTTTCTTACATACAGAATAAGTAAATTTTGTCAGCTTCTTGTCTTCCTGCAACACTGACTCATACATATATAAATAGGCATTTATAAGTATAATAATGTATGATAATTAATTTACAGGATGATATGCATTTCCGAGAATTTTGATATGCTAGGTCTACCATATCGTACCTTTATATGCTCATATTCTATATACTAAGTGCATGTGTATATGCAGACCTGCAGAAATACTTACAAAATATTACTATATTTATATGAACATGTATGAATCCTGATTCCTAAAAGTTATATTTGGTGCATTACTCATTTCACATCACATCTGTGGACTACAAAAACATTATTATGCGGATATGCAGTTTTTGCATATGACATTGTTAATAACCATACTTTTAGATTACTTTACATATTTACATTAGTACAGATCAATTTTTATTGGAATTATACAAATTAGACCAGACTGCTGAAAAAGCTGAAAAATAGTACCTATAAAAAAATATGGTGCTTTTGAGTTAATATACTTGTCTTCGTATGTATGAAGGATTCCTGAAGTTAACATTTTTATTTCATATCGAAAATATCAGCTGCAATATGTGAAGTGGATCCATAAAAGTGGTTGAGAGCCTCTTGCATTTTTAGAATGCTTACACTTTGATTTTGGGTTAAAATTTTTATACCATTGAATTCAATAAAAAAAAACAAGAAAAATCATTAACTTCGGTTGCAAGAGCTTTGATCGTTCAACAATTACATCGGACGTTTCATCATTGCATTCGGCAATAACTCATGCCAATTTTCGTGAAGATATCTCGTCAAATGAGAAAGATTTCCATCCAAGAACTTGATTCAGATTTCGATTGCATTACAGCTAGATGCTATAATGATCCGATCTTGCCTTAAGCAATAATCCATGCCAAATTTCATGAAGACATTTCGTTAAATGAAAAAGTTTCTCATACAAGCACTTTATTCTGATCGTTCAGTTTGTATGGTAGCTATATGCTATAGTGGTCCCACATCGGCCGTTCCGACAAATGTGCAGCTTCTTGGTGAGAAAAGGACGGGTCCAATATTTCAGATGCCGTGTTGAAGGACAAGTTTCTCACGATCCTACGACCAATTGAAGGTTTTGATGACATTCAAATATTTGCGTTCATAGCCAAAAAATCTTTAAAGAATAGTTTTGTACTGATTTTGAAGATTTCGAAAAAACTTCGTTCAAAACACTCGAGCAAACAAATTTTTCGTTAGAAAAAGTCACCAGACTAACAAATAGATGCCATACCCTCAATAATTTTCACATTTTGCAAAAAGTTTGAGTTTTATTCGTACCGATTGACCGATAGTAAAAAAAAAAATATATGTGAAATGTTAGTCGGTAACCCGTGTTCCTCAGATTTTCCACAGGGGTAATTAGCTCCACTAACTAATACACAACGACACGAAAAATCATATTTCCCTGTTTATGAAAGTTAAAAAGTGTCCTGCAAATAGGGATTAGGTTGTCATTCACATACGAGTCGATAAACCAATTATCAATCGGTCGATCTTTTATTCTTACAAACTCAAGGTATTTCTGGACTGAAGTCTAGTATATATTTTTTCACAACGCTTACAGAATAATCAAGTGACTTTAAGGTTCAGTTTCAGCACTGTCTTTTGTTTTGCAATTAGGGGTTCTAAATTAAATTTAAAAAAACTTTTGCCAAGTGAGAAATTCGTTCCCAAATTATCTTGGGTCCACACTTACGAGATACCGTCAAAACTTGAATGGCTTTCTCATTGGCAAAATTCAGTTAGTACCCCTACTATGCTATCCTTACATTTCGTCTCTCACAGTTGCAGCGTTGCATTTTAGTTCAAAATGTCACTGAGTTATCAAACTGCCCTCGAAAAATGCGCTCATATTTATTTTTACAACCATTTCAAGAACGAATAAATGTAGAATTGTATGCAATGCATTTTTCCCATAACATTAAACTTGTACACATACATACATATGTGTGTCACATATTTTAGGATACCACACAATTGCTCTTGCAGTTTTATGAATTCACATACAATTTGCGCGTATGTATAAACATAAGTCCATAAATTGTATGCACTTCTGCACACTTGCTCGCATACAAGTATGCCATGCCTGTGGACCGGCCTTCCTTCACTTCAAACTTGAATAAACCAGTAACAAACACTCGTATTACATATTTACATATGTACATGAGTACATAAGCATTGCAAAATGAAACTTTAAATGCATGCCCCTATCAGTATTGACAATGTGGCGCACATTTTCATGGGTCGGAAAGGCTCTCTGAAGGCGCCGCTTTGTTGCACTTGTTGACACAGCTTGTTCCCAATTGATTCGCGAAGTATTGCGCCTGGCTTCCAAGTAAATAGCTTAGCAACTCTACATTGGAGATACGTCTTGCTGCAGCCAAGTGTGTATGTGTTTATTATTATTTTTTATTTGTTTGTTTTTCTTCTGCAAGTACGAAGCAAGTAGCTGTTGTTGTTTTTTCTTTCCACAGTTTTTTCGTAATCACAACAAGTTTGGCCTCCTAACGACTGCAATCACAATCAGCAAATGCAATTTCCTTGCCATTTTTTATTTGCTTGACTATAGTTGTTTGTTGTTATTTTTTATCATTGCACTTTGGATTGTGGCACTACACTATATTTGCTGCAGAAAACAAGTTCACAGCTATGGAAAATCACCAATCACTAGTTTCGCCAACGGACAGTAGACAATTGTAAGAAAAAATCTTTAGAAAGTCATGTGCTCTTTTTGAAATGTGCCTTCAATGCCTACCGCATCGAAACTTTTCGACCATATTTCTGTGGACGCGTTTTCACTTACTCACCCTCGTGTGCTTGCTTAACAGCTTTTACGGTTTGATAAGCTCAGCCAAACCATATTTAGGCGTTGTGAAGGAGGTCGTATACTCTCACTGTTAAGAATCCGATTAAAGCGAAAAACTTCTATGTAGCGGAATCGTGATCATTGAGTTTGTAGCAACATTTGACATTATGCACGAATCTTTTTGAACACAACGAGGATACGATGTTCTAGGGAGCAAATTTGCTGATTTCTTAGATAACTGTTGTAATCTGGAAAATCATAAAGCACTTCATAAATATCACACAACTTGGCCGACATTTCATTGAGAGCTTAAACCTTTAATAACTTTCATGTTGCTGCTGTTGTATTAGCATAATAAATTTTTTATGTATATAATAGTCATTGCTGCAGTGAATGCGGCCTTTTCGTGGATTCGAATTAAATCTAAAAAAAAGTCTCACTAGAGAAAGATAGAAGAAAAGCTAATTAACCTGATTGTACTGGGCGGTAACATTTTAGAAGGCTGTAACTCATAAACTATTTGAGATATCGATTTCAAAAATTTTTATGATATTTTTAAAGTTATAACCTATCGAAATATAACAAAAAAACGTTTTATTTTTTCATTTCACACTAGGTGGTTCATTAGGAACCCTTTACTGTCAAAAGAGTAATATTAAAGGTGGTTAAATCTGTTGAGAAAACACTGTAAATTGAAACGCGTTTATAAATAAAAATAAAAAATAAAAATACGACAACTGTCTTGAGCTTCACTTATTATATATGTACTTATAAATGTATATTTTTCATGTTGTGAACAGCTTCTGTATTAAATACACGTGATTTTTCGAAACATCTTACAGACGTCTACCCTTACCTTGCAGACATATAAGTCCATGTATAGTATATATGAATTTTTTAATAAACTCCAAAATACCCGCCAACTTTTATATTCTGAGAACCGGCTTTGTTTGTTAATTAATTAAAATTAAAAAGCGGGTTGGCAACCACGTCATTCTTCAGTAAATATTTATTTCAGTTAATAAAATTTTGCAATTGTGATGACGCAAGTTTCACAAACATAATTTAATTGTAAAGCAACTAAAAAAATTCAGAATTACTTAAATCAATAAATATAAAACATAGTGTAGAATCTAGTATATGATATAGTTTAGGTACATAACTTGTCATGCGAAGTATGAATGAAGAATTTTCTAAACAGATTATGTATACATTATTTACTTCTTGTAAAAGATTTCTGAGTGACTCCAGATTGGTGTATTTTTTAACAAAATTTATATGGACAAAGTTTGGACGTTCTGTTGGGCCTAAAGTCGCAAGTTATATTTGAAATTATTACAGGAGACTAAAAGGTTTTTGGCTATATAATATTCTTACAATAATGCTTATAGATATACGATGATAGCTACTCTAATAGCACTAAAAATAACTTTTAAAAATATATATATTGAAATTAACAGTATAAAGCATGAAATTTATCAATAACAAAAAAAGATGTTAACCACGGCTACATCGAAGTTATAATAACCTTCACGGTTGTATGTCTTTGTATTGAAGATTGTACCGTTGCCTTAGATAATAATCCTTGCCAAATTACATTTAATAAAAAAGTTGTCCACACAAAGACTGGATTTCGATCAATCAGTTTGTATGGCAGCTATGTATACCCTATAGTGTTCCAATCTGAATAATTTCTTCGAAGATTGTACCGCTGCCTTGGGCAATAGTTGCCAAGTGCCAACGTGCCAAATTTCTTGAAGATATCGTGTCTAATAAAATCTTTTCCATGCAAGGACATGTATTTGATAGTCCAGTTTGTATGTCAGCTATATGTTGTATTGGTCCAATATCGGTGGTTGTGGTGTTAAAAACTAAAAGACTACTTCGCGTATATACAGACAGAGGGACAGACAGATGGACTAAATCAACTCAGCTCATCCGAGTTGTGAGTTTACGATGACGATATATTTTGGGGTTATTACAACTCAACTCAAGTAAATTTGAAAATGAAAATTTTTATCGTGTTCCTAATTTTTTAATGTAGACTTTCAAAGTATTTGGATCAAGCCACGCGTATTTTCTTTTCCGCAGCATATCGATATTCTTATAAAATATTTTTCTATTTAAAGGAAAGACAGCACGTTTTCATCATTGGGTTCCTGTCATTTTTCCATCATCGTCTGTGCTGACCACACTTCCGCTGGATATTATGAATTTACAAAAACAAAAACTTATTGCATGCAATTTAAATTCAAATTACAGGATCCGAGTACATTATACCATGTACTTACTATATATGTAAATTTATTACAATGTGGTGGAGGAAATCGAACAATCGCCAACAATTTGCTTGCCGGTTTGACAGGTAAGTTTGTATGTAAATATTCGGGCGTCATATAATTTTAGCATACTACAAGTACACGCTTGGTCGATGGGTCAATTAACGTCTCGTCGGCAGTAGCGTGTTATGTAAACACAATTGGGTTGCGCTCACAATTCCCAAATCCCCAATGTCTGGCGATCCGCAAGCCAGATTCATATGCAATTTATGAAGTTTTGTGAATTTATTTTTTGTTTACCGCATCGATTAAGTGCTCGATGATAATTTCGCAAATATGTCGAACATATTAACAACCTTATTGCGTTAACTCTTTGATCAGATATGCATATATGTATAACACTGTACTCTATATGTATTCCGTGATTTGTTGTTTATTTATATTAAAATGTATACACATGTGTGTGTGTGTTTGGTATATAGTATATGCGTTGTGTTTATCACTTTGTCAGTTGACGGAAACGCATGCTTCTTTTACCACTTGTATTTACAGTCCATTGTCAATGAAGTGGGTGAGCGTGCAGGTGTTATAAAGGGGGTTGAGAAATTGGGCGGTTACACATATTACCGATCCAATATACACAAATACTTATATACATATACATCCGTTTGCTCATTTGCAAATCAAATTGAATCACACAAAATATGTACATATATACTTAAAAATAATATATGCCCCCTAAAAGCGTGTGAAAGTTGATATCTCATTGAATTGGTTTTTTTACTTTCCACCTTAGTAGCTTTGAAGGAAACAGCTGGGACCGCGTATAATCTTAAATGTAAAATACTGTTACGTGTGGTGTCACCATGTATTGTCCTAAAACTTAATTGGATCCTTTTTGTTCAATACAACCAAGTCAACAAATACTGTAATTTGCCTACATTTGCGGGGAAGACATAAATTTCTCTCAGTAAATATCTTTTGACGACATAATTCGATTGTTTGATCACGCGTTACCGTTTTCTCCGATTTTTACTGGGCTTTGTATTGGCGAGAAATCCAAGTCGCTTGGTTAAAGCCTGGTGGCGACTTGTTTCATAGGATATACATATGATATCTGTTATCCCTCTGATACCAGTACAACCTTAACTGAGGACTCGCTTGTGTTATGACTTCAACGATCTTCGTTATTGTTCACCATCCTTCATAAGTCATGTTTGAACAAGTAAATATTTTTCTGATAATCCTTAAGGTCATACTAGCATACGGTTTTTAAAATCTTTACAGAAACAAAAGTAGATAAAAATCAGTTAAAATATGATTTCAAGACTTTGCAAACCAGTTCCCGAGGGTTGCTAAATAAGTAATTCTGTTATGTAAATTAAGTATCCACAATTTGTTAATCTTTGTAAAATATTGTGAAATCCTCAAACAAAATACTTTTATCTCAGTTTAGAAAAAGAAAAGCTATATGAAATATTGGTTCGATCTGAACTATTTGTTCGGAGACTGTTGCATTACTCATTGCATTTGCACGAAGATATCTTGCCAAATAAAATAAATTTTCTACAGTTTGTATACCAGCTATATCCTATAGTGGTCCGATATCGGCGATTCCGACAAATTAGCAGTCTATTGGGGTGGAAAGGGTGTGTGTGCGTGAAAAAACGTGTATTATTCATATATGTACTTTATAAGGTATCCCAAGTTTCCTTCTGGGTGTTAGAAACTTCGTGGCAAACTTAATATACACTGTACACGAACGTATAGAATGACTCAACATTTAAATTTGTTTGATTAATCGTGTCGATATTTTTATACCCTGATTGAGATATAAATCTGAAATTTTGCAATTTTATCGCCAAGAAGCTGCTTATTTGTCGGAACGTCCGATATCGGACCACTATAGCATATAGCTGCCATACAAACCAAACAATTCGAATAAAGTGCTTGCATGGAAAACTTTTTCATTTGGCGAGATATCTTCACAAAATTTGTCTGCCACACAAACTGACCGATCAAAGTTCTCGTAGGGAATTTTTGTATATGTGACGGTGCAGCCGAGGTTAACGTTTTTATACTCTCGCAACCTGTTGCTACAGAGTATAATAGTTTTGTTCACCTAACGGTTGTTTGTATCACCTAAAACTAATCGAGTTAGATATAGGGTTATATATATATAAATGATCAGGATGAAAAGACGAGTTGAAATCCGGGTGACTGTCTGTCCGTCCGTCCGTCCGTGCAAGCTCTAACTTGAGTAAAAATTGAGATATCTTTATGAAACTTAGTAGACATGTTTCTTGGTACCGTGAGACGGTTGGTATTGCAGATGGGCGTAATCGGACCACTGCCACGCCCACAAAACGCCAATAATCAAAAACAAATAACTTGCCATAACTAAGCTCCGCAATAAGATACAAGACTGTTATTTGGTACACAGGATCACATTAGGGAGGGGCATCTGCAGTTAAAACTTTTTTTAAAAAGTGGGCGTGGTCCCGCCTCTAATAGGTTTAATGTGCATATCTCCTAAACCGCTAACGCTATAATAACAAAATTCACTGGAAGCAAATGTTTTTAGAACCTCTACCTACAGTGTGAAAATAGTTGAAATCGGGTGGCAACTCCGCCCACTCCCCATATAACGGTACTGTTAAAAACTACTAAAAGCGCGATAAATCAAGCACTAAACACGCCAGAGACATTAAATTTTATCTATGGGATGGTATGAGATGACTTTATAGGAACCGCGTTCAAAATTAGACAGGACACTTTTAGGTGAAAACCCATATTTTGGGATCTGCTTAACCGATTTCAACCAAATTCGGTGCATAACGTTCTTTTCATATTTCTATGTTATATATATTATATGTTAAATCGGACTACAACTACGCCTATTTCCCATATAACACCATTTTCAATTCCATCTGATTCTTTCACTTTCCACTATGCATATCAAGCAACAATGATTATATAGGGGTAAAACTTTGCGTGAATAATACGTTTAATGTATGCCACCTGGTGACCAAAAATTGTCTAAATCGAACCAAAACTGTTCAAGCCCCTAAGTACTAAATATGTGGACCCCAGTGCCTAGAGTTGACCTTCTACCGAATATATCAGCCAACCCACAAAGAAATCTTTAACGAGTATACCATTTGACTTTGCGAGAGTATAAAATGTTCGGTTACATCCGAACTTAGCCCTTCCTTACTTGTTTTTTGTTATTTCTGTTTCCCGTCATGACCACCATAAGAGTATAATGTACATACAAACATATTTAAGAACATAAGTCGTGCTGGGGCACTATATTTTCGGAGATATTTTGTCAATAACTTCTGTGTTATTGTCAGTGGCTTTATGAATGAAGAATTTTCTAAATAGATTATGTATTCATTATTTATTTCTTGTAAAAGATTTCTGAGTGACTCCAGATTGGTGTTTTTTTTAACAAAATTTATTTGGACAAAGTTTGGACGTTCTGTTGGGCCTAAAGTCGCAAGTTATATTTTAAATCATTACAGGAGATTAAAAGGTTTTTGGTTATATAATATGCTAATATATTTTCGGAGATATTTTGTCAATAACTTCCGACTGTTTTTCTTTTCAATTATGTGTCTCATTTTCTATATTATATATTAGTTTCTTTCTATGCCTAACGAAGTTGTTTACTAAATGTTAACTCTAATAAATAATATTAATTATCCCTTGTGTCACAAGAACAGTTTGTTTGATATATATAAATAAGCTAGAAACTGTCATTTGAATTGACGAAGAAAAAAGTTTAAAACTATAATTTCACGTTTTTTTTTTTTGCCTCAACATTTACACTAACTTATAATGTATAATTTCTGTTTAGTGGCTAAAATTAACTTTTTAAGCGCATTTTTCAAGAATCGTCACTGCAAAACACGGAGATAAGCTAATCTAAAAGTAATTATTGCACAAGAAACATCAGATAAGCTTTATTGTAATAAATGCCAATAAAGTGTGTGATGAATTGTGTCACTTTATTGCCTACAAAAAAGTTAAGAAATAATTTAATTTATCTTGCTTTCGTTTTTGCTTTAATAGTATATACTTTATACAGTAGTAAAACAAAACAACAATTGACAGTCTTATATAAATGAAATAGAAGAGTATATAAATTTCGTATAATACATATCCGTACTTTAAATAATATAATTTTATAGTGACATTTTTGAACAAAGAAATTAAATATTTTTCAAGTTAAGATCAAAAAACAATGTATGGAGAACTGTATATACTTGTAGAAAACGCAGATCGCAGTGTCTCCGAGTAATCACTCAAGCAAAGTTGAAAAATGGAGTCTTGAAAAACATTTAAAGATAAAGTCTTTAAGGGGATAAGGGTAGTCAGAATTTTCAAAATATCAATTTTGCATTTTCATTAAGTGTTATATCTTGAAAATAATCTCTGAAAATTTCAAGTTGATCCGATAATTGCTTTTTGAGTTATTCGACAAATAACAAATAGCGCTCGGGTGCAGGTAGTTAGCGGCAGCTGCAAGAAACTTTAAATGCGTTTTTCTCAAAACTATGTTTTTTGAACTGGTGACTCGAAAACCGCTCAGTAGATTTTAATGAAATTTATTTAGCTTTTAGAATACATAATAAACTCGGGCCTGATCGAAGGTTTTTTTTTTCAAAAATTTCGATTTTTTAAGACCAATTAACTGTTGATTTTTTTCCAAAAATCTGGAAAAAAATTTCCAGGAGCCGCCATTTTGTTAATTTTTGAAAAAAAAAGCTTCGATAAGGCCTAGAACTATCTATTTATAAAACTAATTTTCGTTATCCGATTGATTTTAGATGAATCTTCAAGGACTTATGGTATTCACCGCAAGGACATTTTTTTGGAAATGGGTCAACACAGGCAGCTATAACTTTGGAAATTAAACTTTTTTTTTTGAAATTCTCGTCACTTTACTACTTTAACAAAATAACATGATTTAATAGCAAAAACAAAATTACTGAAAATTCTCATTTCTCTCTCTCCTCCTTCTCTGACTACCCCTAACCCCTTAAGCTTATTGAACTAAGCAGCACTTTTTAGGGTTGTAACTGAAAATCTATTTGAGATATCGATTTAAAATCTTGATATGTTATTTTTTAAAGATAAAACCTATCAAAATATGAAAAAAAAATCGAAGGCAGTAATTGCGCCCCTTAAAATAGATCAAGTAATAGGGCTGATATATTATTATTGTATAAGGTTTAGGTGAAAGCCTAGACATATGTCCTATCTTTTTGATAGAAAACCTCATTATGCTAAGCAAAATATTCTCGCCTGATTCTCTTACGATATTACATGACATATGTATGTATATGCAACAAATTTATCCAAAAGACAGTTCTTATTATGTTGGTTAAGTCATGTTTAATGTATAGATCATCTAATTTATGAGATATATAATATACCAAAAACCTAATATAAGGCGGAACAAAACTTATCAAAAACTAAAGTTTTATGGGCATGATAGTAATCCGGTTCCTCCCATTGGCTTCACTAATCTCCGGCGAGCCGCAAAGAACGCCCAAAAGTACCAAATTACATATCTCAGATTTTACTGAAATTATCGATTTTATACAGCAGATGAACATTTTTATTCAAAAATAAAGTTGGACTCTCTTTCTGATGACTATATATGAGTCTATAACTATCTCGATTATTTAACAAATGTCATTAGGCCTA